CAATTTCATTCGTTCACAAAGTGTTGCCACTTTTTAAACCGAAAATTTACCACACGAATAATAAAAACCTTACAAAAGTAAATTAGGGTTGTAGCTTCAGCATAATAGTAGGAAAAAGACATGGATTAAATTGACTAGAGTTTCAGAGCCGTTTTTAAATGATTTTGGTCGGACCCTAATTGGTGCATTAAGGACAGATACAAGTCACGTTCTTTTTGTCATCTTTGTAAGGCTATTACTAAGTGACATCGCTGTTTTTAGGAAGACATTTTGTCAGACAATAACGTGAAAATAAGTCTATTGTGTAAAATAATGGTGTAAATTCAATAATTTTTCGCAACATTAAATGACGCTGGCACTTTCCGTCAAATTAGTAGGTTTAGAAAAGCATAGATCGCGACTAAAATTGACTTACAAATTTAACGTAAAAAGCTTGTTATCTGGTGACTTAATTGACTAGAAATGGCGAAGAGCCTCTTGACATTTTAACACATCGCATATGACATACATAATCTTTTATCCTTTCTAAGACTATTTAACGGAAAGTGAGAGCTCTAATTTAAGTTAGGTTAAGAGATTATTTTCTTGAATAGCAGCTAAATGCCCGAACGCATGAGCAATTTTTTTGTCGCGTTATAGTCGGAAATCTCTTTTACTCGCTTCGGATACAGAGTTTGACTGTCGCACGGCCCGAAAACAATAAAAAAGTCACATGTGTGAATGCGGCCTAAAATCAACTAAAAGCTAACATCTCGTAGCACTTGGCTACGGCGTAGTCAACCTACTACAGTGTTTAATACCTGACAGGAATAATATCTTAGAATGCCCAAAACATAAACAACTTTATAATTAACCCAAAATTTCTTAATGAAATTCTAGCAGAGGTACCTATTTAACTCGCAACCATAACTTCGTTTCTGAATAGACCAGTAAACGAAGGTTTTACCACAAATTAAATTAGGAAGTCGGCGAGCGGGGCGCCTCTGTGAGCGACTTTATTAAAATTACTTTTTACTGCATAATGCGTGAAAATCAGTACACTGTGAAATATTGTATTGGGATTTTCACGCTCACTAACAGACGCTAAAAAACTTTTCCACTTCTCTTATTTTCATCTGTAAATTATTGATCAATACTAATTTTCTGAATTTCCCATAATAAAAGAAAATTCCTCTTAGCGAATGGCCTATTTGTTTACCAGCTTAAGATTTGGCCTAAGCATAGTGTCATATCATTGCAATTATAAAAATTGACCATTATTAAGGTGCCCTAAAGAATTTTCTCTGACCGACTGCTTTAACATTTGCTGTTGGACCAAACCTTAGTGTAATACCGCGGCATTCACTGATTTCCTTAATGTAATTAGGAAATTAAACTTATTGCAAGGTGACTCCAATTATTTTCCCTTACCGACTGGCCTAAGATTTTGTATCGGTCGACTTCGGTAATTAGATAGTCAAACTTATTGCAAGGTGCTTCAATTATTTTCCTTTACTCACCGGCCTATGATTTGTCGTTGGGCCTAAGCCTTGTATAATACCGCGGTGTCGGCCGACTTCCGCAATGTAATTAGAAAGTAATACATACCCTCGGGCGGCGACTAGTTAATTATTGCAAGGTGCGTTGATTATTTTCCCTTACTTACTACTGGCCTATGATTTGTTGTTGGCCTAAGCCTAGTATAATACCGCGGTGTCGGTCGACTCCCGTAATGTAATTAGAATGTAAAACTTACCTTTCGGTGGCTACGTATTTATTGCAAGGTGCCTCGATTATTTTCCCTTACTCACTGGCCTATGATTTGTTGTTAGGCCTAAGCCTAGTGTAATACCGCGGTTTCAGCCAACTTTCCTAAAGTAATTAGAAAGTAAAACTTATCTTTGGGTGGCTACATATTTATTGCAAGGTGCCTCGATTATTTTCCCTTACTCACTGGCCTATGATTTGTTGTTGGGCCTAATCCTAGTGTAATACCGAGGTTTCGACCGACTTTTATAATGTAATTTACCCTCTGGCGGCTAGTTAATTATTGCAAGGTGCATCGATTATTTTCCCTTACCCACTGGCCTATGATTTGTTGTTGGGCCTAAGCCTAGTGTAATACCGCGGTGTCGGTCGACTTCCGTAATGTAATTAGAAAGTAAAACTTACCTTTGGGTGGCTACGTAATTATTGCAAGGTGCCACGATTATTTTCCCTTACTCCCTGGCCTATGATTTGTTGTCGGGACTAAGCCTAGTGTAATACCGCGGTGTCGGCCGACTTCTGTAAAGTAATTAGAAAGTCAAACATACCCTCGGGCGGCTAGTTAATTAACAACGGTCATACATAGGGTTGAAAGGATGAGAGGTAGCGATTTGTAACCGGGAAAATGGGATTTTCTTGATAGGGGTTTTGCCAATATTTACTCTTATTTGTATGGATTATGGTCACAGATATACAGTGTAATGTCAACTTGGGATAGCATTGGGTGTCGTAAAACGCGACTAAGTGATAATTATCCAGGGAATGGGCAGCAGCGTTACTTGTCAATGCAGCATCTTACACTGCACTGACCAAGCGTGGAGAGTATGGCTTTATTCCAATTATATTTTGGTAACAGTCGTGTGGAGTGCTGCGAGACAGGCCTAGCCTAGTGCGGAGTTCATAAGTAATAACTGCTTTTGTGAATCTTTATGGTAAATAAATGTATTTTTATTTTATTAATTTAACTCCCCAAATTTGGGGAGGCCCACGTAAAGTAGTGTACTGTTGTGGCTGTAGTAGTAATAGTAGTATGTTCACAGAACAACTGGAGGAATCTTGAACACAATATTTGGTCAAACATATCTTAAAAACGAGATTTGATTGCGTAGGTATGATTCTGTATGACTGCGTAGATGGCGGAACTAGGTATGTCAAACAATGTCAAAGGTCTTTTTACCTCAAGTACGGCTATTCGATTAAGCTAGGTCATATTTGACAGCTATCAAAGCCATTCTGGATGACATGTCAACAAAAAAAAAGTCCTTATTTCATAGCTTTAACATGATTTTGACAGTTATCAAATATGGCCTACATATTCATACTGCCTACGGCCGTACTGTTGTAAATGGTCTTATGTATGACTCTCCGATGGCTCGTAAATTTGTTGTCTTACCTATTTTACAAAATCAACCGCGCGTATTTGTCTTGGACCTTTCCTATCCGGGCCCGCAGCAGATAATATAACACTTCTCTGGCGAGAACCAGCTTATGTTCTAGCGTTTTGTGGGAACTCATACAATACAAAAGGGCTCTTTTGGGCTTCTCATTCTTGATTACTGTTTCATCAAAACACCTTCAGATCTCGCCCAAGCGTGCCCAAGGTAGAATCAAACGGATGACAGGTAAAATAAAATATTAAGTTTAAGTCGCGATCATCTCCTATCTCTTTCTGACCCTATTTGACGGAAATTGACCGTGCTAATATAAGGTCACTCAGTATAAGGTAAATAAGAGAATTTATTTCTCGAATTGACCTCAATATAACACTTCTCTGGCGCCAAACATCTTGTGTGTTCCATCGTTTATGGGAATTCATACAATACAAAACCTGGGAACTTTTTAGGCTTCTAATTCTTGATTACTGTTTCATCATAATCTACTACATATCTCGCCCAAACTGGAATCAAACACTCTGCCTACCCCGAAAGGGATAAAGGCGTGGTGGGTCTAATCACTTTCTTTAGGATCTTCTACCGAAGCCAGGCGGAAGATTATAAAAATCTTCTCTAGCGCGAAATTTTGTTCATAGCATCGGGTCGTTGGACGACTTGGTGTCCCACTCGAAGAAGAAGAATCACTAAGCTGATTCTGTCCATATACTTTCTTCAGCATGTTTTAGAGCCCAATGGTGTGGTGTTCCTTCATGACAAATTTGGGGAAAGTTTTTCTTTATCAACCGCCCGTATATTTTCACTATCAGCCGCTAGTAAAAACCCACCAAATACATTAACATAATCAGGTAACCAACGCATTACCAACTGGTCTATCGCGCCATAACTCTTCGTTAATCGTCTCTCGATCGCTTTCCGATAGTTAGACATACGGTTAACTGGTTACTGCTAATCTAACAGCTTTACTCAATGGGGGCATTTACATAACGCTTCGGAGTGCTTGAATCACGTTTGTGTTACTTCCGGGGTAGACCGAGTGTAAACAGCTACATAATTATATCACTACGAAAGTAGTCTAGATTCGTCTTGTCATACAAAAAAATGTGGCTGATTTTTTTTGTAGTAGGTATAGATACCGCTTCTCATACAATAAAATGAGGCTGAAAAATAGCCATGACTCTTCGCTTAATTGATAGTTAGACACACGGTTAGCTGGTTACTGCTAATCTAACAGCTTTACTCGATGGGGGCATTTACATAACGCTTGAATCACGTCTGTATTACTTGCGGGGTAGACAGAGCGTAAACACTAATAACCTCGTAATACTGCAAAAGTAGTCTAGATACGTATTGTCATACAGCAAATTGATCCAATACAATGAAATGAGACCTGAAAATAGCCGTAACTCGTCTTCCTTCACATCATTTCTCGATAGTTAAAATACGCCAATCCACTAAACTTTAAAATCACGCCTGTATCACGGTAGTGTTATTATTTATTCTTATGCCTGTATTAAAAAAAGGGTTGAACTGGCCATTTAGGCACTTTTAGACTATCGAATGAGTTTACGCCACACTAAAATATTACAACAATATAATATAACCTTATCTGATGCTATACGTCATACCGCGGGAAATTATTTATATTTCTACCAAAAATTGGGTAGCAGCGTGCAGCCGCCGCAGGAGGGCTGCTTGTTTCAAAATATAGCCGGATTATATTGTTAATATATTAAAAATAGAAATCAGAAATTTAAAAATATTCGCGTCGGCCGGGACTTGAACCCGGAACCGCTGGGGTGCCGCAAAATGGTCGCTTCGAAACGAGCATCAAGAGAATGAAAATTTTGTGAGGGTCGGCTAGACGCCGTAAGTTCAGTTGGCAGAGCAGTGGGACGGTACCCCACCGTCCCGGGTTCAAGTCCCGGCGACGACGCTTACATATTTTAATTTCTTATTTTCATTTATTAGAATAAAATAGCAGTGTAACTGGATTAAAATTGCAATACATTTAACACTATTTTTGAGCAAATATTTTGATCATATTCCCCCGGGGAATGTTGTTTGTTATCACGTGTGTGTTATAATCCTAAGTATCTTTGCCTCAAGGGACAGACTGCGTCCTCCAACAAAGCATAGCCTATAACCTGTTAGGGTAACCAACCTTTCGGATAAATATAGATGGACTATAATTTCTTGTCTTTTTGCAAGTTAGTTATTTCGGATTCAGATCCTCGTCTGTTTTTTTTTCCTTTAGTTGGCTTTTCTCTTTATACTAAGCTCACTGTTAAGCCATTGTCCTTTCATACAAGGCACATTTTTGGGCACAAAGTAACCTGGGTTTTTATTGCCATTGACCCGAAAAGAAGAAGAAGGCACCTGTTATCATGCTATAGAAAGTACTTGGCCTAGTCAGTCTAGGTTTGAAACGTAAAGTTTCTGTCCGGAGTGTAAGGGACAGTCCTCACAATACGAAAAGTAGTTCATTTTTATCGTCTACTTTTCGAGTGAGTCATCATTCTTATAGTCTGACTGAAAGCACCCTGTCAGTATTCGAAGGGCTGTCTCTTACATCCTATTTACCCCCAGTTTATACCTATTGTCTCTCTTTTGACCGAAAGTTTGGCCAACCTACTCTCATTGTGGTCCACACGAACACACACTAAAGATAAAGCGCGCACGTCCCCAAACCCTCATGTACAAAATCACGGTATATTAACTGCTTCCTGAAGTATATTTTTAGGAGAATCTGTAAATCTGAAGAAGTGGCCACATTAGCCTTATTCAGGTCTAAACAAACGCACTAAAGATTACCCCGGTTTGAAACCCTGCTTCATTAAGGCCTTCAGGAACACACACTAAAGATAGCCCTGGTTCAAAACTTGTAGCTCAGTTTCTCTTTCAACTGAAAGCTAAGGTCTGACGACACTTGCTGCGGATTAGTCCTTTGTTTGAATTAATTTGGATTGACTGTAAGTTGCATGTTTTGCTTCTTGAACGCATGCATGCATAAATTAAGCCTTTATCCCTTGCGGGGTAGGCAAAAGCGTCAATGGCCATATAATAATACGGTCGTTATCGCCGCGTCTGACAAATATTTGTTGGTTATTTTAGCTATTGTTTTGTATCGCTATAGTGACAGGTTGTCAGCTTGTCACCTAAAATTGCAATACACATGAAACCCTCGAGTCCCTTAGTCGCTTCTTACGACACCCACAGGAAAGAATTGGGGTGATGCTATTCTAAGCCGGAATCACACAGCTTTAAATTCGTTTCTTGAATAGATAACTGAAAGCTTGGCCACCCTACTTTCATTGTGGTCTACACGAACACACACTAAAGATAAAGCGTGCACGTCCCCAAACCCTCATGTAGCTCAGTCTCTCTTTCAACTGAAAGCTTGGTCACCCTACTCTCATTGCGGTCTACACGAACACACACTAAAGATAAAGCGCGCACGTCCCCAAACCCTCATGTACAAAATCACGGTATATTAACTGCAATTTCTATTAAAAAGATTGAAAGTTACGTTTTCTTAAGTACATACATATTTTGTAGAGGTAAGTTGTTTCTTTTATCTTCATCTTTTCGAGAAAGTTATCATCTTTCTAGTCTGACTGAATGCACCCTGCCAGTATTCGAAGGGATGTTTCTTACACTTTATACCTACAGTCCCAGTTTATATACCTATTGTCTCTATTTTGACTGAAAGTTTGGCCACCCTACTCTACTCTGTAGACCACAATCTACACGAACACACACTAAAGATAAAGCGCGCACGTCCCCAAACCCTCATGTACTAGTAGGGTACCGCTATTAAGTGTGGCTCTGAGTACATAATATAAGACAAACAGGAGTAGGCCAGCGAAATAGGGTAGGTAGGTAGGTGTAAAATATCAATTATACGAACTTACTTTAAATTATAAAATAATTTGATGCATGTCTGAAAGTTTCGCTATAACACAACATATAATGAATCCCATAGCTCAATTGGCAGAGGGGGGCGGTTCCCCACGGTCTCGGTTGCAACTTGCAAGTCCCGGGCGGTCGCTGACAAATTTTTCATTTTTTTTTATATTCATGAATTTTTCCGTTTTTTTAGTAATATACCTATTTAATTCAAAATAGTAAAATGATGCACATAATAATTCAAAATAGTAAAAACGGGGTTCTTACCGCGATACGGTTTGTTTTGAACTGTCCGATATTTCATTGCACCATGATCATGGCTTATGCAATTGGGTTGAAATATAAGACAATTCAAAACAAACCGTATCCCTGTTTTTGGTATTTAGATTCAATGTGATGCATATTATAATAAGGCAAACAAGCCCAGTTAAGAACGATTTGTCATGACACCACGCAATTTTAAAGCCCCTCCCACATTGTCTACTTTTTCATTTCGCCACTTGAATCGTAATAAAAATGATAAATTTACACGACAGCTATAAAACACCAACCACGCTGTGGGTGATAGGTTGAAATACGTAGTAACGTTTGTAGGTAGTCTTTTCACGACTTACAGAAGGTTCACTCACTCCACCCTATTTAGGATTTTCGTGATTGTCACTTGTTATTTACATAGCCAGATTTGCTACAGTAGTACGGCTTTTTAGCTTAAGGTTTGTATGAAGGTACGGTCCCATCCGCACCATCCGCATAAAGACATGAAACTTGGCATGCACCACGTAGCTTTGACATCTCAAAGTATAAGAATATCAAAACAGTAAAATCTGATACAAGAAGGTCATATGTATGAGCTAAGCCAATTTTAATCCAAGAAATTCGCCAAGAAATATGACGTTCGTGGCAACCATCTTCATAGTTACCTTGAGTTCTCCTGAAAATCTGAGGAGGCACGAGTGAATAGGCACTACCTAAGCAAGCATGCTCCAAAATCGTCTGCATCATCATTTACCAACAGGTGAGATAGCAGACAAATGCGGGCCTAACTTATTTAAAAAAAGATTCTATTTGTTTTTCTTAGTTAAAGTGCTGGTACTGAGTGAACCATCTGTATAGGCGCCCCGCGTGCCGTTTCCCTAATTAGTGACACAACCATGTTAGTGGCCGAGGCAGAGGCAAAGGTTAAAAACATACGAGCTAAATTGAAAACCTCCTCCTTTTCTAAGTAAAGTCGGTTATAAAGTTAAAGCGAGCTCATCGCAAATCGCAGAAGATACTTTTCAAATCGAAGGTAATTCTCATTGATTACTTTGGCTACAACTTTGATCCGTAAAGTTGGTACACAGTATAAGAAAGAAGCAGACAAACGTCTTTATGAAGAGTTTTTTATTCATTGTAAGAATCACATACTTAATACGGCTTTTATCTATCCATTTTTGCTTGTACTAGGACTTATAGAACGCCAAGATAAAAACTATTGCGCAGTAAGGGTTTCATGGAAATTAAAAAATTATACCATTAAAAAAAATAACGAACAATTAGATAAGTATGTAACGCACTTTAAAAATTTACTTAGATTTCTTTTTCGTTTCTAGTACAGTATAAGGTTTTCCAAGAAAGTCAGGATAATATTAGCAGCACTAACAATGATTTCATTCACTTACTCAAACACGTTCTTTTGTTATTATCAATATTAAGGCCTTCTTTGTCCTTTTGATGCACCGATATGACAAACACCCCAATTCAAAGTATTCAAACAGAAATATGGCTGAAAGATGCAAAATTACAACGTCTCTCTCAGTAAGTAGATACATACTGCTCTTTTTTTTAATTTATGCTTGTGATTGACGCCGTTTGGTGAAACTCCATCACTTGTACTGTTTCACAATCTTATTTTATTAACCCGAGCGGTTTCATTTCAAAACCTCTCCAGGAGTACATAATATTACCCCTTAGCCAGACTTTACTTAAAAAACTGGCCAAGAGCGTGTCAGACACGCCCACAAATAGGGTTTCGTAGTCAACGTTTAAATATCAGGTTTATCAGCATTACAAACTTAATTTTGTTGCTGGTTTGTTAGCAGCAGTATGATGACCAACCGCAAATAGAAAAACTCAATTTTTTCTGAAACCTTTAAGGGTACAATATCCGTTATAGTTTACATTGTAACTTCAGATTGTAAGCTATATTCCATATTTATTTCAAATTTTTAGCGTTAATACTTTAAAAGTTACAGCTGGAACAAAGTATGGGTCAAAAACGCCCTTTTTAAAAGCAAATATCTCGTGACAGAAACATTTTAGTGACTTTGTTTCAAAGAAACCTCACCTTAGTTTTAAAAGACCTATTCAACAATACCCTACTCAATATTACAGAAGAAAAAAAAATTTTTTTTTCCCCCCTTTCACTTGTATGGGAGGGGGTCCAAAAAACATTTAATATAATTTTTTCTTAACATTTCTATATTTGGGTCAACACGATCTATCTTCTCACCAAATTTCATGTCGATAGCTCTAAAACTGACGAAGATATGAGGGCGCGGCATACAGACAGACAGACAGACAGACAGACAGACAGACAGACAGACAGACAGACAGACAGACAGACAGACTTGACGAAACTATAAGGGTTTCTAGCAGACTACGAAACCCTAAAAAGGAGGAGGTTTTCATTTTTACTGCTCTTTTTCTCTACTATGCTAACAGCTTACGTCTGCACGGATGCAATATGAGTTTCCGTTTTCCGTTTGAAATTACGCGGCGCACCGGAAATGACATGTCATTCGGTCATACGGACCGCAAAATAACTTCATTTTATTGCAGTTTAGCATGTAGTGCTGCCGGCTTAGAATAACATCACCTCATTTAAGATCCCGTGGGTGTGTGTATTTGTATAGAAGTTCTGCATACCGAATCGGTATCGCCGACAGCTTTGGAACTTCAATACAAACACAGCTGCTGTATGGCATCGGTACTGCAAGGGTAAAGGGCTCCTCATACCGCCTCCGTATGCGTGACTTGAACGTCCTC